CATTCCAGTGACACTTTGTAATTTGCCCTGTTCAGGAGAGTTTCAGCTGCACAAGTAGCACAAGTCAAGAATACAGAAGACCAAAATAAATGTTCTTCCAAACAGTGAGGTATTTATATAGAAGGCTTACTGAGAAGTGATGTCATTATGGGAGGAATCAAAATATGCTGTAGAGGTCTATTGGCCACATGCAGCTTTAGTGAATAATGCTTTGTGTTGTTTGGAATACCTATTCCAAAAACAAAACCACAACAAAACCCACATGAAAGCTAGAAACCTTCGTCCTGCAATTTTCTGGACCCCTAAAATGTCAGATCTAAAATAAATTTTGTAGTAGAAAACTCTCTGAACCTTCAGGGGAAAAAAGTATTTTTTTAGTAATTTTTTAGCTTTTGTTGTCCTATTTCAATGTCTTATTACAAAAATTTCTGTCTTGGCAAATGCCTGTTTTTTGTAATGATGGTACTGCCCAAATGGCACAGTATGGGGTGGGCATTTCATGTGCACAGACAGCAAACAATAAGCTCAGCACAAGAAATGGCAACATAAGTAAGTGTAGTTCAAGTTGACTAAATGCATGGCTTGACTTCGTGCTACTAAGATAGCAAAAATTAAATGTTTGCACAGGGAACATCTATTTTTGGTGCTGTTCCACCCCTGATAGCAGCAGTGCAATTCACCAGAGGGCACCATGAAGTCTAATGATTCACTGAAACATTGGCAATAGTTGGAGGGTTGCCTTTTTTTTTCCATCTGATAACAGGAATCTCTCACTCCGAAATTCCAGTTTTACTTCCGTATCGGTATAAAGGATCCTCACATCTCTGATTTTGCTGCCATCTATTTACAGTGCCATATTTACCATTTATGGGCAGGAATGCCCTGCAGGAGGCTGTGTATGACCTGCACCTTGTGCACAGGGGGGCTGTGATGGGGTGAGGGGTTGTTCCTTCCTCAGGACTGCAGTCTGCAATGTATATAGGTGGCATTTCTGGTCGTTGCCAGCTTAACCAGAGCATTTTCTTTTTATGAGCAATTGCTCAATAGGGGTTGAAGTGTGCAGTGAAATATCAGTACCTGTAGTAAAGCTGTTTTCCACCTGGCCTGTTTTTATGGCTGCTCTCGATCACTTTTTCATGTGTTCCTGTAGGAACTGTGTAGGAACTGTCTAGGAATTGTCTTCTACCCACTCGTTACACCCACAGTGGAAAATGGAAACCCACCCATGGTGGTGACAGCTACATGAATATGCAGCATAATGCAAATATCTCCACATGTCACCTGGAACAAAATAAATTATTCCTGTGTGTGCCAAGACATTTTCAGGCAGAGCTCACTGCTACAGCAGAATAAATCCAGTAGCTCTGTTTCATAGTTGAAGGCCAAGGTTGAACTATCACTGAAAATAAGGGGTCAGTCCCTCTCTGGGCAGTGCATGAGATGAAATCTAGATCCCTGTATGTCACCACTGCCACCCACTTTGTGGCTGTATGTGTTTTTCTGAGCTTGAATTGGTGCTGGGATTTGCTTTCCTCTGTAAAATTTGTGCTAAAGGTTTTAACCCTTTCCTGACTGCATGAGGAGGCAGAAATAGCAGTGCAACTTTTCTGCACTGCAAAAACGTGGAAACTTTAACCACGAGAAGTTGTGCAGCACTCAAGGACTTTGACTTCCCTTCCCTGATGGAACAGTGTGTTGCCATCACTGGAGAGCATCCTAAGTAATGCCAGAATTTTATGACCAGATATTGTGCTCAATTTTTTCCTCACTTCCAGCAGTATGAAAATAGAAATGGAAATCCTTCCTATGATAAGAATAGTTTTGGTGTAATTCTTTTAATTTTTCATAGTTTATATTTTCTTTTTCCAAGAGAAAGCAAAAATCAGGAATATATACAAACCCATACATACATACAAACAGGAATATATACAAACAAATACACACAAGGAAAGAAGAAGCTTAAAAAAAAAAAAAAGGATTCTGTGTAAATAGAAAACACTCTTCAATTTTTGACAAACTTCTTTTCCCTAATACTCTTCATGTTTTTTAACTCCTGGAAAGTAGGTTCAAACATTTCTTTCACTCACTCCTTTTCATTGATTTTGAATTTGAAAAAATAAGAATTAAATGGTATTCTTGTAAATAGAGGAGATTCTTATATCAGAAAATCCCTATATAACTGAAAACAGGCCCTGTGCTGGCTTATTTCATATCCTGCTGCACAACAGCCTTAAAGAAAAACTTTTCCTTGTCAGCATAACAGGAGAAGGAGGATTTCCATTATGGTCTCTCACAGGAGAGAAACTAGTGACCAGTACTGCAGTAATTTGCAGGATGTAAATTATGTTAGTAAAATTTTGGCTCAAAGTTTTACAAGAAACAGTTTACCATGGCTGTTCTGCCATACAGTATTTTACAGCTGGAAATTTAATGGCAGGCAGGGGTGTATTCAATTCTGTTTTCCACATATAAAAGTTAACAACCACAGAGGCAGAAACTTTTTCTCCAAGAGTGGGTGCACCCAATGCTAGGTGTGTCCTGTCCCATCTGCATCACCTGTAGGAAAGCACTCCTGGCTGAGTTCAGTATTTTCCTCAGGAGGTCAGTGTAGTTTATAATTGTGTCTGACTGTATCTCAGAAACCACTGATAACCAGCCAAAAAAAAGATGGCAATACCTGACTGGGAGAAGTGAGATCTAAGAAAGGAAATGTGCTCTACAGTTTGAGTTCTATGACTCAAATTGGGGAAAAAATATCATAGATGTTCATACCAATGAGGTATGAACATAGCTCACATTTGAACAAAATTTTGATTGTAATCCCAAATCTGTTGAAGTCAGTGGAAGGACTCATATTGTCTTCAAAGAATGTTGAACTGTGGCGTGGTTCCTCAGCTGCCTTTGGGTTATGGAAATCACAGGAACCATCTGCTGAAGTCATTGTTCCAGTAGAAAAGTCAAGAGCACACTTTAAACCATTTTCCATTTAATACAGAATTGTTTCATACGGAGTGGAACCTTTTCTTTCAAATAAGGTGTCAAATATGGCTTTCTATATTCATCAAAGCAAAAGCTGTGTGGAAATAGATGTCACATTTCAAACTGGCTCAGAATTGCCTTTCTTTTTCATCTTAGAAGGTATCACAGATTTTTGCCAAAATACTTACCCGTCTGATCTCACTTATGTGTTAAAAATCATCACCACATACACTGCATTTAAGTTATTTTGACATTTGGTCTTTTTTGTGAATGTATAAAGCACATTTAGCCTACTTTCAAAAATATATTGTGTGCAATACAATTTTTTTCTTCAGCAAAAATAAAACACTCTGTGATGTGACTTTATTTGTGTTCTGCTGCAAAGCTCACATAGTTTTATGACTTTATTTTAAGGGCAGAGAACAAACTCCAAGTGACCTCCTTTCAGGAGCAGTTAATGCTAAAGACTCTTGTGTAAAAGGGTCAAAAGTCTGTACCCAAAAGCTAAACTGCATGCAGTGAGATCAAAACTACCATGTCCAATATTGCTTTGGTTTATGTCAAAGTGAGGACCATGGATCTATGAATATACTACTTAATATAATATTAATTATAATATTAATAATAATTACATATAATATAAATATATAAATATAATATTATATTTATATATTATTAAATATAATTCTATATATTTATATATATTTATGTATTTATATATAATATATATAAATAAATATATATTTATTTTATATTATTATATTATTTATATATATATTATATTATATTATATAAATATAATACAAGGTGACCCCTTTGGGGGGCCTTATACTAACGTTTTGGGCCTTAATATTAACATTTTATGGCCATAGTGAGCCCAACTGTGGTGACACATCCAGTCCTCATGTTCATTAAATAAGCTTCCAAGTATCACCAAAATGGACACAGATACTGTCAGAAAGTAAATACGGGAGGAAGGATTTAATTCTGCTTTTTAGTCTAGAAAATAATTTTCAACACTGGTATCATTTAGTGGAGTCATTGGTTTTCAGTTTAATTATGCTGATTAAATAAGCACAGGTTTAAATATCAGCCAGTAGAGTGGAGCTGAAATCAAGCAGCCCAGATTTCCTATTGTATCAAAACAGACCTCAGACAGAAGAAACTTGCTGCCTTCTGCAAGGACCTAAATACATGATTTTGGATTTATTTTAAACCTTTGCTCTAGACATTATAAACCTTTGGCAATAAACACTTTGGAAGAAAGCTAGCATGGTTTTTGCTCAGTAGTTAAATTCTTCATTAGTTTAGCAGTTTCAGTGTCTCTTTTACTGCATGGAAAGTTTTGAAATCCCAAACCAAACAACAACAATCTTTTTAAAAAATGCTATGGTGTTTGGAATTACACCACAGGAAAATCAGACACTTGGGGACGAATCATAAATTTTTCACATTTACATCCTTTTGTAAATCAGATCTTTTTTTTAAGAGACAGATCACAGACTGAGCTGTGTAACATGGCTTTCATAAATTTCTGTCTGAAACATGGACCAGCCAGTAAGTTTTTACTGAATATCAAGCTTCAAATCTGCTTACTTCTGTTTCAGTGCAATGCCAAATGGTGCCATGGTTATTAGGTACCAGTATGGTCATGACAGCCACAAACACGCTTTTTTCTTGCTTTTTCCCACCAGGTCTCATCTGTCTCAGGCCTTCTGGTGTTAGAGACACACTCCTCCCCATGAATCATGAATTCTGTGTTTTCACAGGAAAAATTGCACTATCTGCAATCAGCTTCCAGCACTTGAGCAAATGCTGTGGGCTTTTAGAGGAAGTAATATTTGCTGCATAGCCAGAAAAAGGATAGTTTAATAAAACAGGTGACACAGTCGCTCTGAAAAATGAAGCAGTTTGAAATAGGGATTTGTGTTAAGCTGCTGGAAAAATTGCTCCTGGGATTTTCCACTGGGATTATTGCAGACAAGATGAACATAAATGACTATCAAATCCTTGTTTCTTACCTTTTGTTTTCTTTTTCATCCTGACTTCTATTTTTTCATTTTCCAGATATGGTGTTCCATCTTCTCTAGCGTTCCATCTTCCTCCATATCTTTAAAATTCTTTCCTTCTGTTAAGCAAAGCTATAGCCTTTTAATTACTGATTTTTAAACTTTTTTTTCAAATCTCTTTTAATGGCTCAAAACAATAAAATGCTATATTTTATTATATATATTTATTATATTATATATTTACTGAAGAACAGCATTATAATAACTAACTAGGAGAAACAGAAGAACCAGTCAAGTTTTCTAAGACAGAAAAGTGCTCTCTTAAAGAAAGAGAAACCAAGGTGGAAAAGGAGATAAGAGCTCTGACAAAGAAGAATTACAGACCTTTGGCAGAAAGGTGTTTTTGTGGTTTTTTTAATCTACTTTGTAGCAATCCTAACATCAAGTAAGTTCCTTTAGGCTCACTGTGAAATGTTTGCAGTTCTGGGCTAGCTAAGCCTAGAAGGTGCTATTACGCTTATCTGATTGGCAATGTTACTATTGCAGGGAGTAAATCAAAACAAAACCAAAGGAAAGGTAATTAATGTAGATATTCTGCTGGCTTTTACAATGTTCCTGTGTAGAAAGGATTTCTTTTAGTGCAATAATAAATCAAAATATGACAAAATAATAATAATACTGTGGTATCTATCAAATCATTACAATTAAAAAATCCCAACATTTTCCAATCAGCTAATGGGCTATTTATTGCTTCTACAATTATTTTATACTTCCAGGTACTCAAAGTGTCTACTAGAACATAGTTATAAAACTACCATCAAACTACAGCAAGATAGGTTGCCTAGAGAATATCATTCCAAAAGACTCAACTTACTTTCTCTTTGTTCTCCAGAACATGCAGGTTGAATACTTACTTTTTGCTTCAAACCTAATTATTTTATCCATGGAGTTGCCTCTCTTGAGCAGAGTTTCCTTCTAGAGCATTGCACTGTTGTATTTGACACTGTTTCCTCAGGCACCTGAAGCTGGGCCAGGCAGGGATTCACCAGGAGGACCATCAGCACTGCAGCTCCCTGCTGGCATCCCCAGTGTCACAGTTCTTGGCAATTCCTTCTCCAGTTAGATGTAATATTTATGCTGGGGAAACCTTCCAAAGAGATGGCTGTATTTGCTGCTCAGTGACAGGAATGTCCTTCAGATGGATCTGCTATCCTTACTTTCACCATTGCATCTGCTTTGTATGCTACATACCACTGTTCTTTTTATGGTTTCATCTTTTTAAGCCTACAGTTTCTTCTGCTGATCTGCTGACTTAACAACCTCTATGATCCACGCTTTCTTCTTATGGATCTGTTTTTTCCATGATGGATCAGAAACTGCTGCAGGAATTGGACCTCTGTGCCTGTGCAGAAATCACCTGACTGCAGTTTATGCTGTTTCTGCACTCCATCTCTGCCTCAGGCATCAGTGTCACAGTGTCACCTGAACAGACCTACTTTCCTTGCTTCACAACTGAATTTTTATCCTGGTTGATTTACAACCTGCTCCCAGATCAGTTCTTTTGAAAGATAGATTACCTTGGCACCTGAGTCATTAAACTCATGATTAAGCCAATCTATCTTTAAGTCCCTAGACCTGATCAGGTTTAAACCCATTGCCTCAAGCATACCCAAATAAAGCTTTTGTACCAATTTTTCCCAGTGCAGATAGCCTGGATCACACTGGACAGGACTATCTGACTCAAACAGGCTGCCAGCACAGTCCAGCAGGACTTCATACCCCCAGCACACAGCAAATATTTTCCAGGCTGCTCTGAAGTTCAAAAATTGTATATAAAGTTATCATCACCTCTGTCCCTGGACCTCTAAAGGATGGGCAGACTCTTTGAAGTCTCTGAGGTGTCATGACTGAGCTCATGACCAGCTAAAACCTGTCCTAAGAGATCCACCTCTCTCCACTTTCTGAAATGCTGAACAGGCATTAGTGAAGCATCACTGTTCTGTGAAGAGTCCCCATGTTATGTATAATTAGTGAATGCCTGAGCAGGCAATGGGCTCGTTAGTATTTCTCCTTGATTCCTGTATTGTCATACGTGATTAACCTTCCAGAACTTTCAGAGCACCAACCCTACGTGACAATGCAGAAACAGAAAAGGGCTAGGAGGGAATAAAGTTATTTGTGTAAAAGCTGATGTACCCTCTTCTGAGTCCACTGCACTCAGTGGTGTAGAAAAAATGCTTGTTGAAATGCAGGTCAGCAGATTGCAGGCAAACAGCTAAGTAAGAAGGAAAAGAACTTGGCAGACCAGACTTAGAATAACAAAAAAATATGAATCCCAAAGTAAAATTGTAGAAGACTCACATATAAGTGAAAAAGGTGACAGTGAAATGGATGGTCTTGGAAGCTCTTTACTAATGTGATATTAAGTAAAAGGGCAGGAGAGCTCTTATGACTTCAGCATAAATACGACCATATTTCTGTATCATGTATTTCACAAAGCTAAAAGTACAAAAAAGCTCTCTGTGATGCCAATAAAGATAATATCCATTAGTTTTTATTTTGCTGAACTTAGATTCAGCTCCATTTAAATTGCTTACTCAGCCCCTCAGAAAGTGAATGTCAGCATTGGGACTGAAGTCCAATAAGAAATAATTCTTATGCCCAGTCTTTATCACGTGGAGATTTTTTTTTTTTTAAGCAAAATGACTAAATTTTTAGAAAATTTTATCAACGAGTACACAAATAAAATTGGCATAGCTACAGCTTATATAACCCATCTTGTACCTCTCCATTTCTATTATAAATGTGATCTCAGCAATTCTTTTCATCTTTCACAAAATACTTTAGAAAACACCTGCAAAAATAATAATCAGAAGTTTACCTCCTTACAGATCTGGCAGGACTGTTTACTTGAGCTTTACATTTGCATTCTGAAAGCTCTGCTGTTTAAAATCTGTTTCTCTATTCTGATGAGTAAAAGTTCTAAATGCCCTTGACCATCAACAAGATTAAAAAATTAAGGTTGCTCATACTTTTTTCCATTTATAATTAATATCAATGAAATGGTATCCACCAATTACATATAAAAAGCTTTTACTTCCTAGGTGCCTTTTCTAGAGCCACCTGCTCCAGACAATATCCTATTAATTTTCATTTTCAAAATGAAGAATATATTCAACTGCTTCTGTATAATAAGTGCAGATTTTTGACAAATATATGCAGAATGATAGCTCTGCTGCACTTACAGCTCTTATTTCAATTCGATCCCAGCAAAAGGCTGAAAAATAATCAGGTTTCAATGGGCAAAGACCTAATTAATAAAGTGAAGTTTGCCAAAATACAAGTTCAGGTTGAATTTTCAAATTCAATTTAAAACATATATTCCAAAAGAATGATTAATCGAGTAACTGAGAAAAGAAAAAAAATAAAATAAAAAAAAAAAAGGTAAGAAAAAGAAATCAAGCAGAACTGTTTTACAGTAGGATGGTAAAAAGTTTAAAGAATTTTAAGGCCAAAATTTAAATGTATGCCTACATTTTAAATAAAGATGATAAAGTAGAATATGGAGATAAAACTGTGGCTAACTAATGAACTATGACTATAGAAATTAAAATTACCATATTCAAAATTCATCCAAAGCTGAAATTTATGTGTTCATGCAAGAAATACCCATCCAGACTACTAAAAGAACTGGAATGAGGTCAGACTTGAGATGCCTCATGCCAGAGGAAAAGGAAAAGTAAAACTTCCATTGACAAAAAAAAGGGAAAATTAAAATCCAAAGCACTGACTGTCATCACCACCAAGACAGAACAAGTTAAACCAGAAAATATATGAATACCATAAAATAATGAAAAATAAAAGAAAACAATGAGTAAAATGTAGCACACGATTAAGAGTGAACAGATGTATCAAAGCCATTGAACTGATGCTTGAATGAACACTGGATGGTTTTTTGTTGCTATGCTTTGTTTTTTGAAGATGTGGAGAAGCCTGTAACCTGCAGGAGCTGCTGAGAACCCTGTGGAAGGCAGGAGCATCCCAGCCAAGCAGCTGGGGCACTTGGGTCAGTGTTTGCATATCCTACCATCAGCTGCTTCCACCCTCAGCAGATCTGCAGATCTCTGAATTCTGCACCTTCATTACAATCAGAAGGCAGAAGGTAAAAATGGGACCACTAAGTCACTACAAACTTCAGAGGGCAAGTATACCATTTAGCTATCAATGAATGTATCAATTCCATATATTTATAGATAAAACTGTGTGCCAGTTTGTGCATGTGTGAGTAATTTTAGCTTTTTGAAGGTTTTATTTCATGCAATATGTGGGAGACACAGTAACTTACTTTTAAAGCCCACAAAACATAAGCTTCATTTCCTCCTACTTATAAAAAGATCTCAGTTTATACACTTGCATGGAAATACAGTGTTCAGCTTCCTGCTAAACTCTCAGCATGTTTCTGCCAGCTTCTCAAAATGTTTTCCTTTACCCTTGTTGATTGTGAAAAAACTCCAAATCTTGTGGAGTATATATACTGGAGAAGAACAGAAGTTATAAGTGGCTACAATTAATTTTTCACATTGGGAGCTGATATTCATGAGCCTTTTTCCCAGAGGTGTGAAAGATGAGAAATCAGACTACAGGAAGGAAGAGTCTGGACCTGCCCAATAGAAGCCATTTCTTCTACCACCACGTCTGCCAACACATCTGCCACCATGAATTAAATAATTTTCCGTGGACCACAAGCCCATCACTCCTGACAAACCTCTGCCAACTCCCTTGTAAACTGTAACTGCATTTCCTAACTAAAGACTCAGCAAAAAAACCACTCACTGCTCCCTCAGCACTGGTGTAAGAACAAGCAGCATTCATTTCTGTCCTTCAATACTGCTCATGTATGATGGACTCTTCATCACAGATTCTTTCTGGCTGGAATTCACTGACAGTGTAGCTGTGCTTGGGTCACACTTCTATGCAATATTTTTCTTATAATCAAAGAAATTATTACACTTGCACTGAAACCAATCCATTTCTTCGAGGCTGTGTCCTTAATGGAGTCACCATCCCACAGAAAGGATCTGCTCTGATCTGGTACAAATGAAACCTAAATAATGAAATACTCATGGCCACAGGAGAGTGATGATAACTCCAGCTTATGCTATTTGCACTGCCTGCCCCTACAATAATAATTTCTTCCAACTGGAGAAACAGAAACAAAGGCAAAAAAACCTTAAGTCCTGCTGCCCAGACAGAGTAGGGGAAAAAAATTAAGATCAATAAAAATCTTTGAAGCTAAGTTTGGAATAATCTCAATTTTCTTCACCCCTGAAATAGTAACTTCACTTTTAGTAGTTCCTTCTTCCTCTTTTTGTTTACCAGATGTAGACAGTGAGTTATAGCAAAATAAAACCAGAATGTCTTTCCCCTTCCAGCCCTTATTCCTGCATGCTCCTTCATATGGTTTTATTTTTAAACATTTTCCCATAAAGATGTAACTTACTTTAGGGCTTACTTCAAGGAAGCTTCCAACAAGTTCCCATATGTGATTGCTTAACCCAGAACAGCTGAGCTTTGTAAATCAGCAACAGACCCAGCAGCTCTGTCTGACTGCACCAGGCTGATGGGTTTTGCCTATGTGTAGTGCAGTCAGTTCACTAATGAGGAGCTGGCAAGAGGCACAATGCCCCCTGGACCTCATTAAATGAGCTTATTTTGGCCTGCTGAAACCTTACCTCAGGACTTGAGCACAGAGGCTGGAGCAGAAGTGCTACTGCAAAAACAGGGTCCCGTCTCCCTGCGGAAGTGGGGTCTTCATGAAGAGTTTTAAGTCGAGTTTCCTCCCTGTCCCTGTCTCTCTAGGTGTGGTATATGCTGGCCCTGAAGAGCTGGCCAGTTTTGAACTTAACAAATCGCACAGGCATCTTCCCAAAGTAAGGGAAATGGCCTGAGCAGCAGCAGAGCCAGCCCACGCCACACTCTGCTCCCAGCGAGGCAGACTTGGGGCTACAGAACAGGGGAAAAAAGCATGTTAACACTGCTCCAGTCAAAACTCATTTCTCAGTTCTGTCAGGTGTAGGGGACTCTGAAAGTGAACTGCAGTCATTAGTGCTTCCTAACCTGCTCTCATTCTCCTCAGCTGTCATGTCCAGCTTTGCTATTTCTAGCTCAGACCTGCTGGCAAAAGAGATGCTTATGAAGTGAAGCTCAAGTGCCAAGTCCAGTGGTCCCTTGAGGCTGCAGATTATTTTGCTTGGAGGCTCATCTCCACTCTGACTAAACAGAAGAATAAAAACACGAAAAATACGATCAGTCTTTCCTCAGCCCACAGGTATGCAACTAGAACTGAGGCTCTGGTTGTGCAAAATCCTCCAATTGCTTTAGAAG